TATAAACATGTTGGATTTATAAATCTGTCAAGAATTTTTTTATTGTTATCACAGTTATTTTAAAAATTTTGTTTGTTCTTAAAATCTTTACAGGTAGAATACATGTACATTATGTTTGATAACTCTTGGATAAATTCGTCTTTCTCTACAGTATCCCAGAAAGTTTCATTGATAGGACCTGATGAATTTAACTCTTTGATTAAATATAAATTAAACAATAAATTTATTCACTCTTGTCAATGCTGAATTAACATGTTACAAGAATGATGAGTTTGAATAAGATCGCGATTTCACACTGTTCTTTCTTCAGTATTTGTAAAATAGAGCACACTTGTTTAGTGTATATATTAATAAGATTTGGTTTAATCTATTTAATCAATTACTTTTCATTAATGTTTAAGTAAGTAAGTGAGAAAATTGTGCACATAAATTCTACCACTTTGAATTTGATAAAACGAAGAGAATCTTATCAGATAACATACCAATACCATGATAAGCAAATCGATACATAAATAAAATAGAGGAGATATTATTAGCACACACGCAACACCAATTAAATGATTCTAGAAGAAAATATTGTTCAGTTTTGCTCTGTACAGCTACACTAATGTTTGAGATCCACTGTTTAAATTCCTCCCGTTCTGTTGACGAAAAAGGTTTGGTTGGATATAGTTTTCCTTTTCCAAAGTCCTTGAACTGTCGAATATAAATATTCCAATTATTCTCGTAAGTTGATAGAGTGATGTAACTGTCATTCGTAATAGGATAGGCATGATATGATTCAGGTGCTTCACGTCGTATAATAGTAGAGAAACCTAACCTAGAGAGTCGTTGTTTATATTTTGGAAACTAACTGTCGTTGTTTATATTTTACTGGTTATTCTTCACTGCTTCACTTTTTTTACCATTTCATTGTTGTCAGCAGCATTTATTTTCTTTACAGTAGACTAAAATATAATATAGTATATAATTAGTAAAACACAGCAACATTATTTATTAAAATAATGATAATTGTGGAAAACAAACATTACTATGTCAAAGAAACACAGAAATTTGATTTATAAGTAAAGAAATATATGTTATGATATACTTACGTTTAAAGGCTGGTTCATCATTCTTTCTTCCATTTAGTAGAACTGTATCAGTCTGATTATTATTGGTGAAAGAGACAGGGTGTTTATATTTGAACAGTTATTCACTCAGTCTAAGTAAATATCATAAATTATAATTTAATCGAACTTTTATTTTGAAATTATTCTAAGCTGACTAACACACTGTACACTTCTGACCATTTGTCTGACACAGAATTGAGTAGAAAGTATGTGACAATTGTACACTAACTTAAATGTCCCATCAAATACTGAGAATATACAATTAGTGTTTTGTATCATTATGTAAGTCGGAGAACTATGTTTACTGACTTTATATTTCAGTGACATACAAAAACTTTAATTAAAGTATGGTGAACATTACATTTATATAGAAAATATAGGATTATGTAGAGTTTGAACCGTTTCTTTTCTATATTAATTATAATGTAAATACATGGAGACAATGTACTATAATTGACTGTAATTTTAATAAAAGTTTTCTGCCTCTTATTTCTAGCCTCTGATGACGTGTTGATCCAATGAGATCATCGTTTTTCGTTTACAGAAACACTGTCTGTACGAGTGTGATCATGTGACGATATTTGTATTTCACATTTCACACATTTAAGTACATATTAAAAGTAGGTTTGAATCCATTTATATTATAGAATTCATTGTATTATATAATGAAATCTCGTACATTTCACATGTTTATGTAAATATCATAGATTAGAGTTGAATAGATCTTTCATTTTGAAAAATTATTCTAAGTCGACTGAAACAGTCTGACCATTTGTCAGGTACAGTATGTAATAATTGTACACTAACCCGTCAAATATTGATAATATACATTTATTGTTTTCTATCACTATATAAAGTGAAAGAACTACGTTTACCAATATTAAGTATAATACATAGACAGCGATAGTGTATTATTATTGATAATCACATCTTAGAAAAGTATAGTCTAATTGAATACAAACATTGTATTTAACTGAAATGCGTCAATAAACACTCAGCATTTTGTAAAGTGAACATTAAGTAAATGTAGGGTTTACTTCAATATTAAATATAACGTATATGCATAGATAGCAACAGTGTATTATAATTGACTTCTATCTTAATAAAAGTTTTCCGTTATCTGTTTTAGTTAACACCAAAGGTCAAAATATGTCCAAACTTGAAATCTGCCCTGTATCTATATTCTACTAAAAGTCTGAGGTTGTTTGTTTGCTTGTCTGTAATTAAATACAGCAAAAAAAACGGCGCAAAATAGTG